CAATGATATTGGAAGAATGAATCAAAGAAGCACGGCAATTCGGCTATTTTGGTACTGTTACAACAATGAAACGAATGTTATTTCGAAAATAAGGAACAGTAAAGTTGAAAACCTGATTGGCAATTGCAAATAATTTTAACTAGTTTATAGGAAATCTGAAAAACAAGAAGGACTTTTGAAAGCGAGAAATAAGAGCAATCGCCCGTAACCGCGAGTAATCCATAAGAGTAATTCCGAGAGGGAGTAATCTTGAAAGCACTAGTAAAAATTACAAGGACGTATTGGCTGTGTTTGATGGTTTATCAAAGCTTGTATGGTTATACCATTCAAGCCAACATTCAGCAAAGAAGTTATAAAAAAGCTGAAATCGTGTCTTTCTGCCAAGTGTGCTTCCGCACGTTGGAGTGATGAACTACCGCTAATCATGTTAGGCATTAGAGTCACCGTTAAAGACGATTTGGGGTATTGTCCTGCGGAGATGCTGTATGGGCGAACTTTGAAACTTCCAGGTGAATTTTTCGGAGACACCACACACGATTTTGCAGATCAAAATACATTCGTCGAAAGAATTAGATCATATATGTCTAACATTCGAACCGTTTCGACTCGGACCCCTACACAATCAAAGGAATTCTTTCCAAGAGATTTGAATACGTGCACTCACGTTTTTGTCCGTGTAGACCGCGTTAAAACCGGTCTCACTCCTCCCTATGAAGGTCCCTTCGCGATCGTGAGAAGGTTTCGCAAACATTTCGTACTAGATATGAAAAGCAAGAACATTTCGGTCTCAGTGGACAGATTGAAGCCAGCTTTTGGTGTTTTGACAAGCAGTCAAAAGCGGATTAAAAAAATTGTACAATTTAAAGCATAATATACAAGGTAACCATTCCTCTAATTCAAACCGGCAAATCTTACATTATTTTTTTTAGTTATTTTTTTCCCTACTTTCTTCTTAATTTGTAAATTTCAAATTTTTCGCACCCCAACACTTGTATTAAAACGTTTACACTGCAGGGGGAGTACTGTAACGACGCGAAGAAAAATATTAGGCAGGTGAAACACCCCGTATGTAATTATTAGTCTTTAAAGTAATGGTATTATAGTATGCATACATGTATGTACGTTCGTCGCTTTACAACCACATTTTAGTTTAATATGAGATGCAGTTATTCGAGAATTGATTCTCAATAACTGTATTGTATAACACGAAATGCTTCTGGTATTTTCTAAGAGAATTTGATCATTATTAACTTAATCAGCAAGGTAGAAGGTAGAAGGTAGTGATAAAATAAATAAATAATTTAAACCTAAAATAAATAATAAATAATAATTGTTAAAATAATAAAAGAATAATATAAAATAAAAGAATTATTGAAATAAAGATAATGAAAATAAAAAGAATTAAATAACGTATTTTAATAAATAAAAAATAATAGATGCCGACGACGACCACAGATAATCTACAGAGAATAGTAAATTCAAAGTATCAACAAAACCTGAACACTATACCTTTTGAGATCATGTTTAGTGCCACAATAAGAAAGGTTGAAAAATGATCGAAAACGAGTTCTAACTTTCATTTATAAATGAAATAGAAGAATCCAGAAAAAAAGGCGATAGAAAACGTATTAGAAATTCAAGAATAGAACAAAAGACTTATAACTTGAGAAGAAAGCCACCGAGAACATACGAACAAGGTGAATTAGTGGCAATCAAACGAGTTCAGGTGGGATCAGGTAGTAAACTAAAATATCAATACTTTGGTCCTTACAAAATTTCTAAAGTGAAGTCTAACAACACTTACGACGTCATCAAAACAGGAGTGAGTGATGGACCTTGTAGAATTTCTACATGTGCTGAGTACCTGAATTCTTGAACGAAACAGATCTCATTGATGGACAATAAATGGCAAGGTGGCCGATCTGTGGGATCCTAAATTCGCATCGTAGCGTCATTGTATACTACTGTGTATTGTGTTCCACTGTGCATTTTCTTTGTATGAACCATATTGAAAGCTGTCAAATATTTATTCATTACTTTTTCATCAGTCGGCTCTATAAGAAGATAATTTTTAAATCCTACAGTATGTATGTGAAATATTTTTAATTTATCAAAGGAAACGAGAAATCATACCTTATTATTATTATTTTACTCATTGATTTTTTTTAATAAGTTATTAAAAAAAATGTATGGATTTGAGCATCCTTGTTTTTTTCAAACATTTTATGAATTCAAATTGGTTTTACGTTTACTAATTTTAATAATGATAGGTTATACATATATGTATACAAATTCCAAAATATGCGAATTCCTTATTTATAATGTTTTCTTGGGGACGTTTACTAAGCAAGTGTAAGAATTTCGTTCACTTTACATTATTCTTATTTAAAATCAACAAAATCGATCATTCTTTCCAGAAAGGTCAATCTTCATGTATGTAGATCGTTTATGTTAAATTAATCAGCTGAAAATCCTTACTCGGACAAAAATACCAACCAATTGGATGAAAATACCACGTTTATAAACAAATCCTTTATAGAAAAATGTAAGTACAATTTAATTATTCTCTGAAATTCTTATTAGAAAATAATTAAATCACATTTACATTATCTTATTATACTTACTACTATATTACGTTCCTAAAATGGCATAAATCCTAAGTTGCATAAATATAGCTATTTCAAAACTAAACAATAAACTTTTAGCTATGTACATAATTCAGTGATACATATGTATGTATATTGTAATTTAATTCAATTCGAATATTTTTGTAAAGCTAAATTTCAAAATTTGTGTCAAAGCTGAATTGCTTAAAGAATGCCAAATTTTTGATGTCATTTTTCTTCTAAACCCCAAGTTGTGGGAGCTTGATATTTTAGCAGCTTTTAGATACTAATAAATAGTTCATTTCATTAAAGGAAAATTTTTTCCAATCTCTACCCGCTGTCAAGTTATCGCCTGTCGAAATTTGTAATATTTGAATATTTGGCACCTTATATTTCCGAATCTGCGAGATTTTTCAAATTTCTATAAACACAGAGAGTTAACTGTAAACTTCACACCATTAAAAATTATAACTATTTTCTCAATTCATGCAATTAACCCTTGAAATCTGCATTACGCATATTCAAAGACTGCATAAACCGTTCATCCAAAATGTATGCCATTCTTGAAAAAGTTTCCTATATGAATAAAAGTAATTCTAATAGTAGGTATATTACATACATAGATTATTCTTAAAAGCAGTACTTTTACTTGTAGAACGGAAAAGTGCTACAAGTAAAACATTGGTTTGTGGTTTGACCCAACTTTATTTTTTGTCATTATTTATTCATTGAATTTTCAACGACCTATGTACATCTAACTAGAGTGCAATACCAAATGGAAAAATAACACAAAATATTGTTTATAAAAATAGTTATTTGTCATGAATTTTTGAGTACAGGGCTGTCAACACAGATTGGTTTTATAAATCGAATTTGCAATATTGTTTTTTTTTATAATAATACAAAGAATAACATAAAATAGAAATTGTGTTTTAAGAATACCCATTAACCTTAATCAGTTAGAAGTAATAAAAAATTAAAAAATTTAATTAAGTAAATAATGTTTAAGTGTGCAATACTTACTTTTATACCTGCGATTAAATAATTGAAATTTGAAAAAATTTTGTTTAAGATGTGAATTCGAAACTGAAAATTTTGTATTATTCGACGTATGGAATTTTTATTTATTTATTTCGCCTATGTACTTACCTAAGTAAGACTTGCACTAAGAAACTGGCATTATAAAATAATTTCTCCATTTCATACGAGAAATTATTCCAAATCTTTTGCACGTTTGTATATTTTTTTTTTTGTATAACAGTGATAATCCTCTTCTCATGCTCTGATTCATTTGTTTCATTATACCCTGCAATTCGTGAAGGGTATATTAACTTTGGTATGGAGTTTGTAACTACTTGAAGGAGTCATCTGCGGTATGGACATATATATATATATTCTTGCTCAGCGTAAAATTCTGCGTCGATTTAGACATGTCCGTCTGTCCGTCCGTCCGCCCGTCCGTCCGTCCGATCGCACGATAACTCAAAAACGAATAATGCAATCGACACCAAACTTTCACAAGTTTTTTCTTTTGTGCCAAGGACGAGCCCTATTGTTATTGGACTAATTCGGATAACGGGTTCGGGTAGCTGCCTTACAACTCAAAGAGTTTATTATAAATATTTCAAAAACTAATAAAGCTATAAATTTAAAATGTTGTATACATGTGTCCAATTATATTCTACACATGCTCTAAAAATTATAATGGGATAGCTGCACCGGTTCGGGTGGCTGCCACACAACTCCAACAGCAAATTTTTTATATTCGGAAAAATAATAAAGTCAGATTCATGAAACTTGGCAGTCATGTGTCCAATTATAGGTCAAATATATTTCTGAAGTTTTGATGGAATTGCTTGACAGGTTCGGGTACTTGCCATACAACTCCAAAAGCTTATTTTAAATATGTGGAAAAATAATAAAGTCAGATTCATGAAACTTGGCAGTTGTGTGTCGAGTTATAGGTCAGATATATATCTGAAGTTTTGGTGGAATTGCTTGGCAGGTTCGAGTAGCTCCCATACATGTCTAAAAGCTTATTCTTAATATTTAGAAAAATAATAAAGTCAGATTCGTGAAACTTGGCAGTTGTGTGTCCGATTATAGATCAGATATATTTCTGAAGTTTTGATGAAATTGCTTGACAGGTTCAGGTACGTGCCATACAACTCCAAAAGCTAATTTTAAATATTTGGAAAAATTATAGTCAGATTCATGAAACTTGGCAGTCGGATATCCAATTATAGGTCAGACATGTCCGTGAAGTTTCTATAGAATGATTTGACAGGTTCTAGTAATTGCTATACAATAACGGAAGGTGCAGGGTATAATTCAATCGGTTTATACCGAGTGAAACGTTTTTACTTCTTTTGAATTAAAATCCTTTTTGCTTTGACCAAAAATGTTTCACTTTATTTTACAATTTAATTTAATTCCTTCATCTAGCATTATTTTTAACTTATAACTGTAGCAAAATAATTGTTAATTTTATATAGCTATATTTTGTTTCATATTATTGCAGTTTCTTTTGTGTCTACATATATAAGACTAACACATGCATATTTAAAAGGTGTGTGTACATACATTTTACTATATTTGCATATGTATAATGCAAAAAGAGACTTTATTCTTTTAATAAATTCTGCTATTACTAAAATTTACAAAATTAATAAGTTATAAGTTCAATAAAAATCAATTTTAATTCATGTTTTTTTATTTTCATTAATTATAGCTTGTTTTATTTATTTTAATCGTTTTCTTAATGATGAGTTAAAAAAACGGAATTAAACGTATTATTTGTAATATCATTTGCATAAGTCTCGTCCATAACTCTCGAGCTTTTTTTGAGTGTGCCATTAAAAATCGCCAGGTTATAAGCACAATAATTAACTTAGTAAATTGATGCATATAATACAATCTAAAATCAAAAACAAGAAAAAACATAAATAAAATAAAAAAAAAGTTATTCAGTAAAAAATAAGATATAAAATATAAATAAACTAGAGGCTCCTATAAAACATATTCAATTAGAGGATCCTAAATTATATTTAATTAAGTTTATCATACTTTTCATCAGACTTTTCAAATAGCAATATTATGAACTAACTTTCATTTTATTTCCTTTTTTTGAAATAATAGTAAAATTTAAAACAAAAGTCTATAACTATAGTAGAGAAGCACTATCAATATATTACTTTATATACAATATTATTCTTGGTCACGACGGAATCAATCCGGTTTTCTTAATGGGTATTTTTTTTAATGTTAATTTTTAAAAAGCTAAAGTTTGTTTGCTCTCGAATAACCAGTGTAAAGTTGACCGTCAGAGAAATAGCGGTCTTCGGTGAAATCTCACCTTTTCCAAAAGTTTGGCCCTGAGATTTATTTGTCGCCAAAATATATGCTGGACTCAATACAAGGCTAAAAGAAACTGATGTATAACAAAATTAAACTCGAAGGAGGAGCCGCTTAATTTATTAAATGATATTCATAGAATAAAATGAATAGATCCAGCAAAGAGTAAATTGATGGTTTTACAGTCTTCAACTCAGTCAGTCAGTCAACTCAGGAAGAATAATATAAAGTAGTACTTTGTTTACAAATGGCTTTCTCAATAATATTACATTGTAGCTCAATAGAGTATTTAATTTAAATAGAGGTAATCCAGGAGGATTTAAGGTGCTCAAATTTTCTACAATTTTCTACTGGAATATTTCAGAATCATAATTATGTTTCACAGAATCAATCGCATTCACAGTAATTTTTTAGAATTTTGTACGAGTTTTAAAACATTTTCATTGGTTAATCATAACCCTCTCTTTTGATTGAGAAAATGAATTAGAATGAATGAATTAGATTAGATATTAAATTGAATTTTGAATGAATTAGATAATGTCTTTCTATCAATATACAGATTTTTCGGATAAGGAGGCAAAAAATTTTGGGGATGATTCTTTGATCAATTTCCAGCAAAAAATTGTGTGGGTATAAAATTTCAAGTTTGTACGTCTTTGAAATTTTGTATTACGTGATATGCAGCACAGAAACTGGCAAGGACGAACTAAAAGATGCGAAAAACGCTAGTGCGAAACCGAAGGTGAGACGAAATCCCAGCTGGAACCAAGTTTTCGCGCAATTTCAAAATTCATTACAAAATTTACGTACTCCATATGTGAAGGAGCGAAACTCGCACTCTTTTCAAAGAATCCAATCCCAAGCAGATCGCAAGCTCGTCTGCAGCTCGAAAGCCTCATCCGTGAGACCATACAACCATTGCGATGCAGTTTGCTCTCGGACTGCGGATTCCGCAGCCGCCCCAGTTTATCTAATGGTGAAACGAGGTTAAGGGTTCTTTACATCAGCGTGTTTGCTCGTGCAGGTGCTTTTCATATATGGCAACTGCCAAATCATTGGAGCAAGCGACCCCCCCACAACCTTCGTTTTCAGGAAGGTCCAAAGAATAATTTTATCAAAAATCATACATATACCCTAGGCACTACAAAAAGCAGCTGAAGTCTTCATTGCTGTAAAGAGGTATTAAAAAAGCGTTTTCCGCCACCGTAAGATTTTGGCATTTACTATAAATCATTTCTGAAGATTAAAAGTGGGTACAATGTTAAGGCAAATTTAGTATACCCTTCGAATATGCGATGTTACGGGTATAAAAATTTCTAATTACGTAAACCGTAATTTGGAAAAATTTATTCTACTTGTTAGTTAGCTTAATACAAATATCAAAATTTTGTATTTGTAATATAAAAATTGCTATTTTTGTCATTTATTTTTACTTTATATAACTTGCTCTAGTATTTTCAGGGTTAACAAATTACTTTTTCTTTAAATTTTTTAAAAGCTTTTTTTAAGATTGATTAAAGATTATGAGAATATGTTCTAAAGCCATTGACTAAGTACCTTACGGAGGGAAATCGTCATGCAGCTCATTTATGTAATTTTGTTTATTAATTATGTAATTAAACACAAAGGATTTGAAAAACGATAAGTTAAATTAACGGCAGAATCTATTTTAATCCTATTGGAAAAATTCTAGTTTCGTGTCATGTTTCGAGTTTCCAACCTCGAAAGTGACAAGCCGTGTTAATTCACTACGGCATTGTCGGTTGACATCTGTACAGTCTTGTCACAATGCGGTAAATCAATTACCGTGATATCACGAGCTCTAGAATCCTACAAAAAACTACATCATAAATGATCTAGAACTTCTATTATCACCAACTAGTAATTTTCACTATTTCTCAGAAGAATCCAAACTCAAAGTTGAGAAAATGGCGGACGTTAATAGAAGGATTTTCTTTTACATTTTACTATTCCTGGAACGGCAAACATTGTGACGAATGCGCTACCCAGATAAAATGTGAGCAATTTAGCAAATGGTGATGATAAAAATTATTTTATATCATGTTGAGTAATTTAAGTCACAAATAATACCAGAAAAATATAAAGCGCTAAAGAAAAGAGGAGCACTCGAAAAAAAAAATCGACCAATCCAAAATGCTGTACGCAAAAAATGAGCTCACGGTAGTGCATAAAAGGCACATAAGCTAGTCTCTCTCTACCACCTCAAGAATTAAACAATGTTGTCACTTTTTATACCACGCACTTCGTGAAGGGTATATTAACTTTGGTATGGAGTTTGTAACTACTTGAAGGAGTCATCTGCGGTATGGACATATATATATATTCTTGCTAAGCGTAAAATTCTGCGTCGATTTAGACATGTCCGTCTGTATGTCCGTCCATCCGTCCGTCCGTCTGGTCGCACGATAACTCAAAAACGAATAATGCAATCGACACCAAACTTTCACAAGTTTCTTCTTTTGTGCCAAGGATGAGCCCTATTGTTATTGGACTAATTCGGATAACGGCTTAGGGTAGCTGCCATACAACTCAAAGAGTTTAATTTAAATATTTCAAAAACTAATAAAGCTATAAATTTAAAATGTTGTATACATGTGTCCAATTATATTCTACACATGCTCTAAAAATTATAATGGGATAGCTGCACCGGTTCGGGTGGCTGCCACACAACTCCAACAGCAAATTTTTTATATTCGGAAAAATAATAAAGTCAGATTCATGAAACTTGGCAGTCATGTGTCCAATTATAGGTCAAATATATTTCTGAAGTTTTGATGGAATTGCTTGACAGGTTCGGGTACTTGCCATACAACTCCAAAAGCTTATTTTAAATATGTGGAAAAATAATAAAGTCAGATTCGTGAGCTTTGGCAGTCGTGTGTCCAATTATAGGTCAGACATATTTCTGAAGTTTTGGTGGAATTGCTTGATAGGTTCGAGTAGCTCCCATACAAGTCTAAAAGCTTATTTTAAATATTTGGAAAAATAATAAAGTCAAATTCATGAAACTTGGCAGTTGCGTGTCTGATTATAGATCAAATATATTTGTAAAGTTTTGATGGAATTGCTTGACAGGTTCAGGTACGTGCCATACAACTCCAAAAGCTAATTTTAAATATTTGGAAAAATTATAGTCAGATTCATGAAACTTGGCAGTCGGATGTCCAATTATAAGTCAGACATGTCCGTGAAGTTTCTATAGAATGATTTGACAGGTTCGAGTAATTGCTATACAATAACGGAAGGTGCAGGGTATAATTCAATCGGTTTATACCGAGTGAAACGTTTTTACTTGTTTCACTATTATTCATGCTGGACAACATACTCACAGAAAAAAGGCATAATTTGGCTTTCATTATTTTCGTAGATATATCATTTCACGACACGCCATGTAACGTCACATCACATCAAGTTTATAAACTTTTTAGTAAACGATCCCATGTTATAATATTCTGGTTTCTCCCAACCAAAAGACGTATTTCTGCTTTCACAACATTAACAGAAATTAAAAATAGTAATTAAATAATTGTTAAATGTTTGAGAAAAAAATTCTAGCCATTATAATCATTAAAAATTTTGTTATTATTTTAGCAGAAATTTAAATTTTTCATAATTCATGAACAAATAATATTATAAAAATATTAAAGCTAGTTGTAACGGTTCATTAACCACAGTTCAAAGTTGTTCCTGAATATCTCTTGAGGAAAATTGATAGATCAATAATTCTATTTGTAAGAAATCATTTAACGAATTATGTAAGAAATCATTTAACGAATAACCAACAAGTAATTTTGGTATTCACTTAAAAACTCAATATGACACTAAGCTTTACCTTTTAAGAATAACTAAAAGTGACATACATACATATTCGTAGAAATTGCAGAGGAAGACAGATATATATATATATTTAAAAAATTTTTGCGCCTTATTAAACTATCCGATATGTGGGCAAATGATAAACTTTTACAATTCTTCAAATTATATATTTACTTAGGTGTTCTAAATGCCTTGTTTGCCGAAAAAATATTTTCGCTTAATAAAATTTGCAGAAACTTTGACAGACATAATTTACGTATTTTTTCTGTTTATAGCGTAGTAGTAGCTATCCAACCATTAAGCTGTGCTTGACACCATTGGTAGTGATAAACAACAGAAAATTATTAGTATTTGCTATTGCAAAAAGTATCATAGAGGAATTACGCACCTGAAACGTACTACAACTAACTAAAATTGTTATTCTTTTAAATGAAAAAACGTTAAAAAATGATTTATCAGCGATAAATTTATTGGATGATAGAACATAACGGTGATCTTGATCAATTTACTTCAATTTATGAAATACTACTTCTTTCGTGATCTTTTATAATTTCCAAAAAGTTGTATATTGATATTTCGATTGCTGTAAAATGCAAATGCAAATTTTACATTGTTAAAAACTTACCTCATCATCCTTTTTCTACTCGACGGTAAAGATTCCGGTCTCTGTTTAAATAAAAATTCTCTAAAACCTAATACATAACGCTCAACATATTTATCCCACTCTATTTTTTTAACGTCAAACTGAAATATTTCACGATCTTTTTTATCTAATAATTTAATCAACGTTTGAACGTTCTCATCTTTGAATTGCCACTGATGCAATGTGAAATATTCTAAACATTCCACAGCTTTGGCTATTTTATCCTGAACTTTGACCATTCTAAAATATTAGTACAATCAGATAAAAAGAGTAAACAAAGTTTTAATACTTACATTGGTTTTTTTCCTGCCAACCTAGCCATAGTATCTAAAATATATGCAGGAATATAATGCACCAAAAATCCGTAAAATTTATTTATCGACCTATTCATTCGCAAGACCCCAGTTGGATACCATAGGCAACCCTCTGCAATTAAAATAAAAAGGAAATAGAAAAAAAAAATAAGCATATGTGGATGAAACAAAGATTTTACGATTTTATATACATATTTACCTAAGGGATGTCGTCGTGTTTCTCGCATTGCATACTCAACAAACTGACCCCATGTTATAGGGTGTTGTTGGCCAGTGCAGCAATTATATATCAAAAGAGATTCTGGTTTAGATGTTCCCACTTTCCACGCAGCTGCTATCATTAGATTAATAACAATATCCACAGGTACCATATCGGCTGTAAAATTTTTTTCACATAATATCGTACGAAATAGCCCCTGACCAAGTGCAGATACTAATCCAGTTGGACCATTCCAATTATCAACCCAACCTGCAAATGGTTCTTTCAAACTTGCGATAACTGTAAATTGGAAAAATTGTGACTTTATTTCATATTGTAATTTATTAAAACATTTACCAATTGAAGGTCGCACAATTGCCACAGGTAAATTTCCAGCTTCTTTTAATAACATATGTTCAGCCAACGCTTTTGTAAATGTGTACGTGTTTGGTCTTTTGCCAATTAGAGATGGCGTAAGCTGCAATCACAACACCAAACATTTAATTCGACACAAGAAATTTTAATCTTTTGTCGTATATAATAATCAAGTTTTTAAATTAAAACATAAATTAGGTAATACCTGATCTAATAAGTCTTCTGGAAGCCAATTAACTAGTGAAATTACATCATAAGGATTGTATGGAGGAGCATAAATAACTTCTGAAACATCGGTCCTGTCGCAGTTACAATATGCAGTGGAAACATGAATAAGTGCCTAAAATTGTTTCATTGTATCTAGTCATAAATTTTTGCAAAGAAACATATTTAGAAAAGTTTGTGCTTCATTGAATTACTTACATCTAACGACATCATTCGGTGGCATAATTCCACTAATCTTTTTGTACCCAGCATGTTAATAGTAACAGATAATTTCAGTTTTTCATCAAACTTTACTGTGGCAGCAGAGTGAAACACTATCGATACATTTTTACACAATAAAGCCTATTTATTCATGAAAGACAAATGCATTATTAGTCGTTATAAAAATGTTTTAATTAAAGTTTCAATTGAGATTACGTAATCACATAATTTTCTTTGGTATGTAAAGAAAATTTATGCAAAATACCTCGTAGTTTATTAAGGGTTCAGAATATTCAAGAATAAAATAGATTATAAATTTGATACATTTCTATAATATTTCCATGTACTTATTTTATTGAAATTCACTGTGAGTATAATACAGTTACTCGTATATTTAATTCTTATCTCCCATTGAAGTCTATTTGAAGAAAACTAGATTAGGTGCTAAAGTTTTCATTGAAAGTGAAGGCCTTCTCTCTGACTATACTATTCTATACAGCTTATCCAAAAGATTTCATGAAATTTTAAATATATTTGCCGCCAGTGTTGAAAACTCTTACGAGGTTTTAGGAACCATATGAAAAGCAAATGGATTGGTTATTTACAAAGGATGAGGGAATCAAATTACAAGTTTTTCCTCCTTTCGTTTAAATAGTCCAAGTAGCTTTCGTAACAGCAATGACTTAGTCTATTTTAAAAAAAATATGACAAGCACTGTGAAACAACCTTCTCTGTACCATCAACTTTCGATGACTAAGGGCTAAAATTCACTGTTCTGCTCAACTCTTCTCTTCTTCACTTTGATATTTATGTTCTAACGGAAACTTGGTAGATCCCTTCCATTAATAATCTTGAATTATTTAAATCTTCATTTTCTGTTTTTAGAATACACCGACGTGAGCTTTCATTAATTACCGATCGCATTGTGTATACAATAAAGTAGGTTATGTGATGGCAACAAATTTTGCATATCGAGTTTTCGGTTGGAATGCACTTCTTCATGATAGGAAAGTGTAAATAATCTTTTAGCAATCCGTCGGACTGTCGGTCTGTCGATCTGTCGGTCTGTGTGTGTATCTCAAGTTCGGCTGAACCGATGTTGATGAAATTTTATACGAAAGTTTATTTCGAGTACGGCACGGATTCATAAACTTTTTTGGATTTATTAGACCTTGGGAACTGCACTTTTTAGCGGCACTTTTTAGCGAAAAATAATCAACCGATTTAATTGAAATGTAATATTCGAATTGGAGGTGTTAAAACAATGAATCTTTAAATTTTTTAGGAAGATCAGGGTAAGAAAACTGATCTAGGGGCCGATTTTACATTTTTTGTCATATCTACAGAACAAATTGACGGAATTTTTTGAAATTTGATAATCAAGTTCTGGTTGTTCCCAGAAGTTACAGACGAACTTTTCGTATTCGGATGGCACAAAATCAAACTTTACTAAGAGACAAATTTACATTTTTCAAGGTATGTTAAACAAAAGCTTATTAGTATCCTTAAAATTTTAAAGAAGTGTTTAAAACGCATTTTCATAATCTACTGGAATACTTTTACTAATCTAAACAATTTATAATGTGGTTTATTATGTGCTGGCCACATCAGATTTTTTTTAGTTGTTATCATAGTTTTTATCATGAAATTAATTTCGAGATATTTAAAATAAAATTAAAAAAAAATTAACATTCTGACTTTGGCAAGCTTTATGTCGAAAACTATGACTCAAATCCAATTGATTGTAAGACCAGAAATAAAAAACAATCAGTCGCGTGCTAAACAAGCTCAATGTATGTATTCTATGTCGCATGATTCCGAAGTTATAAGCATTTATTTATATGCAGAAAAAATCTGGCATCTTTTTTTTTAACAGGCTCTAGCTCGGAAACGAGTACAAAAAAGGAAGAAATATGAGGAGAAACAAAAAGATTGAATTCACTTGGGTTAATGACGGACAAATATTTGTTCACAGAAACTGGTAAAATGTTCCAGGTGAAAGATATTGATATTTTGAATCAATTATTTAAATAACGAACATAATCAATTTCTCATTGGCCCAAAAAAATATACATTTTAACATACCTGGTGAAATTTTTCTAAGCTCTGACTCTTTAAAAAATTTTTAACTTAAATGCTCGATGTTTAAAAAATAAAATAGATGATTATGAAAATTACATAGCTTGCTTAAATATAAAGTTGGGTCACACCAATGGTTTGTATTGTAGCACTTTTCCCTTCAATAAGTGAAAATTCTGTTTTGAATAATAAAAATTATTTTCATTCATATACAAAACTATTTCTAGGATTGCATATATTTAGGATGATGCATATATGCAGTCTTTGAAATAAAGCAAAAATAATGTCTTTATGTCTAACAAGTCCCAATGCTCAGAGAGAAACTTGAAAGCACACCTTATTTTATATGGCCTTTTTTAAATCGAAGTGGCTATTTTTTGAGAAGAAATATTAAAATAAATTCACACTTATTATAAAGCAGGTAAAATTTAGAACATATCTTTGAAAAATCAAAAAAATACACTAATATTTTCATTGATAATTATTTTAAAATTTAAAAAAAAGCGGAAAAACAACAAACACAACCTTCGCCTTCAACGTCTTATTTGTTACTGAAAGCATTTCATTATTTTTAAGTGAACAGCTTTTTTTTCTCATAGGGTAAGTTAACGCAAGATATGGGAAGTACCTGTGGTGTCAAGTTGAAAATATAATTAATGAAAGATAATTCTTAAATATTGATATAAATACATAGTAAAGAAAAAATTTGAAGAGGGAATTAGAAAATAATATCTAAAATACAATCAAATATTATTTGTTAAATACAAATTTTATATAAACTTCAAAATTGTACCTCTATTTTTATTTGAAAAAATATTAAAAACTTACTATCATTTATATCAATTACCTAAGAAAAAAAATATTTAAAATGTTTGGAAAAAACAATCATATATTTTTATGACCATGATTTGAATATTTTTCTATTTTTGAAATAAATGGTATTTTACCAAATGACTCGAAAATTCCGACTGTAAAATAACAGGTATTTTAAAATTTTTGTTCAGGTATTTTAAAATTCTTTCCGTTTAGAATTAAGATAGGTCATACATACACATGCAGGGACATTTTATAAATAGATTGCTCTTGTTTACCTGCTAATAAAATATGAAAAAAAAGCTTAGCAAAATTTTTAAAGCACTCTGTTATATTGAGATATTGTTTGAAATAGTTTTAAAATAATTATTTAAAAAAAATTTTTTGGAAGTAGGTACATACATATTTATTTTTAATAACTTAAAAACTAACTAAAATTATTTGAAACAATTTTATAAGTAACGTATGAATAATCGAAATGAGATAATTCAAATTGTTGAAATGTGTCAACCTATATTACTTTTAATAACATTTTTGTTAGCCGACACTACTTTTTTACATTTTTGTTAGCCGACAACTTACCTTATTGGGAAATACAAAATGTGCATAAAAAATCATACATCCTTCCTCATTAACATTTGAAACCATACTGAAATATGAATTTGAATTTTTTTTTCATTTTTTCTTTCCTCCTACCTTTCTTTCTTTTTCGTGCAATAGAATTTAAATGGGAAACTTTTTAAAAAATGTGTATAATATCCTGAGATTTTTTAAAATATTAATCTCTTTTTTACGTAAAAAAAAAGAAAAAATAATAAAAAATATGACACGATCAGTGGCATTTAAAGAAAAAACCAACAACGAGGCCAAAAATTCGTAACATTTCGTAAAAAAAATTGAGTATTGAGACTTGTTAGATATAAAGACATTAGCAAAAATTAATATAAAGAGGGGTTAGCATAACGCTCGATTTTAAGGGTTAATTGTGTAAGTTAAGAAAACTAATTATATTTGTTAATGTCATGGAATTTACCGTTAGCTTTTTGCGTTTATAGAAATTTTAAAAAGCTTGTGGTTTCGGAAATATAAGGTGTCAAAAATTCAAATTTTACAAATTTCAAGAAGCGATAACTTGAGAGGGGGTGGAGATGGAAAAAAATTTTCTTCTAGCGAAACGAACTATTGGTTATTGTCTAAAAGCCCCTAAAATTTCAAGCTTCTACAGGATGGGGTCTAGAAGAAAAACGAAGTAGAAAATTTGGAAAAAAAAGACTTTAGATAACGGTAAATTTGAACGGCCATTTTGCTTTTCTAAAGTTTAACTATAGTATACCGCGCTAGGGAAAGCAAGCCGCTGCCTTTCTGCGTTTGCAAAATTTCAAAAATGCTTATGGTTTCATTACAACAAATAGTTAAAAAAGGCCATTTTTAGGTTTTTGGGAGGGTATAACTTCTAGAGGGGGGGAGATAGGTAAAAATTTTGTTCTACGGAAATAAGTTGCTAGTAAAGATCTATGTACATACAAAATTTCAGGTTTCTATCTTCAAGGGTGTAGAATTTTTGTAAACAGACACACGGACAGACGGACGGACGGACGGACAGAGTGAAACTAATAAGCACTTTTTTTCAAAAATTTTTGGGAAAAGTGCTAAAAAACTAAAACACATATATAACAGGGGATTTCAATTTAAATTGATTTTATGAAACTAAAACTTATGCAACATATAGATTATTTTTTCACAAATAATTTAAATGGGAAAATAAAATTATCGATATACTCGTTTTCGAACTACGGCCTGTAAAAAGAAAGTTACCAGATTTTTACCGTATATAAATAAATGCTGATAATTTCGGTAACCATTTGTCACCCCGCAATTATACTGTTGTGCAACGCAAAATGACAAAAAATGAGTTAAAAATACTAGCTAATAACTCTATCTATCCGTTTTATTATCGCTGTCCTAACTCTTTTTTTTCTGAGATATTTTTCCGTTTTTTGTTGTAAAGGACATATGAGTACTTTGAACTTTTCTTATTCTGTTGTATATGCCAAATTTGTGGATGTACAATAAAAATTTCATATCAAAATAGGTTTTAAAATTTAAGCAATTATTTTGTCGTACGTAACTTTTACTGTGTTGTTCGTGCATTAAAATACCATTGTATACCACATAATAAGAGTAGTCCGACAGAGCATACATTTTGTTGTACGTGTTTGAAATTGTTGTTTTGCTATGGTATCACTACA